CAGCCAAGTGTTGGTAAAATCTTCACGGCTGGGAAAAGTATTGTTGTTCTCAAACATCTTGGAAAATTTGATGCACTTCGTCAACTCTGGGATGATCACGAACCCCCTCTAACATTCGAAGCGGTCTGCCCGCCGGGCCTGGAACTTGCACCATTCCCCGAACTATTCACATCGGCCTTCACTCTATGGATGCAGAGCAAATATCATGCGACCTCGGAAACTCTGAAACAGGCGCTCTTTGACTCTTGCAACCTAGAGTCGAATATTGGCGCACTGCATCACCTCTTTCTCATGGCTGATGGAGCTGCGGCTGATGAATTCTGCAAAGGCATCTTCGCCCGGCTAGACGCCCTCAGGCCCGATTGGCATGACCGATACTCCTTGACTGGTTTGGCTCAGGAGGCATTTTCGCCACGAGTTGATACCACCCGCCTCTTTGTCACTGTCCGGATCGAAGGCCAGAAGAAATCTGTTGTCGCTGGTCGCGATCTCATCCGTACGGCCTTGCCAGAAATCACCCTCCAGTACCGTCTTCCCTGGCCAGTGCAGCTCGTTGTCACCGAAGACACAGCTGCCCAATACCAAGCAGTTTTCACATTTCTCATGCAAATCAGACGCGCCATCGGCCTCATCCAACGCAACCGGATCCTCGAAGAGCTTGCTTCGAGAAGCGATGTATGGGGTAGCAAAGCGCTGTACTACCTGCTCCGCTCGAAGTTGATGTGGTTTTGTAACTGCATCCAGACATACCTGGCAACGCTGGTTCTAGCTCCTTACACAGAATCCCTCCGCTGGAAAATGCGAGAGGCCTATGATGTAGATGCCATGATCAGGCTTCACGAAGCCTTCGTGAAGCAAGTTATCGACGCTGCATGTCTCGGCAGAAAACTGGATCCCATACGCAGTGGCATCCTGGACATCATGGACCTAGCCGCGAAACTCGAGGACGCACAAAGCGCTAGCGTCGCCGAGGAGGCTGAGGAACAACAGGAGCTATCTCGTCTTTCCATCATGTCCTCGCCGATGAAAGCGAGTCCCCGCCGTCGAAAACCGGCTGTCTACGCCGAAGACAGTGACGACGAAGGTGCGGAGCGTCTCGGGACCAGAACCAAAAGGGGTGCAATTAATGCAGGCAAGGGCTACCTAGAATGCTTGCGGGAGATTAAGACGGACTTTGAGAGGCACCTAAAGTTCATTTGTGGGGGGCTACGAGGGGTTGCCAGGGCCTCAAGCGACGAGGCGGCTGTGAAATGGGACCTCCTGGCTGAAATGCTGGAGGTGGGTGTCAAGGAGGGCGCTTGAAGGCTTTGCCAAGTTGGTAGGGGACGGCTGGCAGCATTGAGAACTTGGTCGTGGAGACCCGCAAAACCATTAGAGTTTACAGAATTCCGGAAAAGGATAGGGATCGACATGGGATTCCTTGATTCCCATACTCCTGTCAAACCGCCGGGCCAACGCCAACTCATTCCCACTGCAGATGGGTCCTGCAGCAGATTGAAATTATTGGAATCCTGCAGAGATGATCAAGTTGACTTGGTGGGCGGTCAAGAGCAACATGAGACGATGCTCGGTAAGTGCCGCCAGGACACGAGGTTTACTGAACCGTATCGTGCGATGCCTCGACAATACCTTACAGCAGACTTGAGCTTCAACCCACTTCTCCTAGGTGTCGCATCTGATGAGCTGATTCGATCACTTAGGTAGTCTACCTTAGTTGGCTGTGGTCCCTGAAAAAGAGAGAACATCGTTCGCATAAAGGTGTGCTAGGCTGCTAGTGTGGTGATTCATGATTGCTAGCGTAGACCCTTGGAGTCGCAACCACGAGACTGCTCGTGCCGGAACCGACGGGAATCACAACACCACGACGGTGTTCACGATGCCGCCCGACGTACTTGTACGTCTCTCCGGCGGTATCGAGGCAAGATGGACTTCGTGCCCCTGCCCGCCAGGGGACGGGGTTCACTGATGCCAACTTTTCCCTCTCCAGACAGCCTCGAACCTTGGAACGAGCAAGATCGACGGTGGGGCCCAACGGTTGTGACCGGAAGCCAAGGGTCCCTTACAACGATTTTGGGACCAGAGGGGGTGTGAGTGTGTTGTTGTCGACGCCGACTAAGGCGCCGCCTGGCGAGCGGGTGAAAGACCTGCCGACATGTAACGTCTCTTTATGTACTCTGTAGACGTGCCCCCGCGCGTTTCCCTTGCGGAAGTCCATGATCCGTCTACGGTGGCCGTCCACGATTTGAGTTGAGTGTTGCGTTGGTGCCCGAGAGTATCCGTAAGAGCAAGGAACTGGGAAAGAGAGCCCAACTCGGGAAATTGAAGCTCAAGCCAGGGTGCTCGTGATCAGTTCTAGACTCTGCTGGAAGGTGGACCTTGGTTCTACACGTGAAGACAGGGAAAGTTGTTCTCGCGGGTTTGCTGAGGCTCGTCAGCGGTTGTTTCCGAGAACTTCACACGTTCTTTCAGGGCTGGCAGCATGATCTTGGCCGGTCTTTGGAGTAATCCATTTCTAGTCGAGTAGCCAAGAACTAACAACAGCAAAGTATAGCCTGAAACCTCCTCGTTCGTGATCATGGAAATGGCCTTTTAGAAGCATCTCACGAATGAGTTGAAGATACTGGTGCCTTCATGAGACTCTTAGCAGGAATGGTCACATGTGAAACGGTTTGAAAGAAACGGAAGTTGAATGTTTGTGCGAACATGACCGTAATCAGTAACCGGGTGTTTTGTTTCGCCGGCTTCCCGAAACGGCACAGTGCCCCACCATCAGTGACATCCGCCACAGCTGCACGGTTTGCCTGCGAGATATCAACACCTCCAAAAACTATAACGACAACCTCGCTTTCACCCACAATTGCGCCTACCGAACCCGAATCTATCGTCGCATAACCTTGCGGAAGCCCATCGCTCAAAATGTCTGAACGCAAAGTGCTCCAGAAGTACTATCCCCCGGATTTCGATCCCTCCGCCCTCACGCGTAAGCGCGGTCCCAAGCAGACCGGCCCTAAGGTCCAGACCGTCCGCATCATGGCGCCCTTTTCGATGAAGTGCACGACGTGCGGAGAATACATCTACAAGGGCCGCAAATTCAACTCCAGAAAGGAGACGAACCAAGCAGAGCGATATCTCAACATCCAGATTCACCGCTTTTACCTGAAGTGCACGCGGTGCTCGGCGGAAATCATCATCAGGACCGACCCCAAGATCGCCGACTACGCCGTAATCAAGGGCGCGATACGGAACATGGAACCCTGGCGCAACAAGGAGGGCGAGAAGGAGAGCGTCGACGAGAGGCTGGACCGGTTGGAGCGCGAGGAGGCTGAAGCCGCGGGCGAGGAGGAGAAGAACGCGATGGCGGACCTGGAAGCCAAGAACGAGGACGCGAGGCTGGAGATGGCTGCCGCGGACGCGCTCGACGAGATCCGCCAGCGCAACGCGCGCATCCAGCGGTCTGAAAAGGATGGCGTGGATTTCTCCGAGTACGTCGTCAGGCCCGAGGACGAGGAGAGGGCGAAGCAAGAGAAGGAGGACGAGGAGGCTGCGCGGAAAGCTTTCGCCGCTGCGAGGGAGAGGCTTGGAGAGGAGATTATCGACGACGATGAGTTTGACGGAGGGGTCGTTGGTGGACCATCAGCAACCACATCCTCCTCCTCATTATTGGCGGTGGCAGCGTCATCCTCAATGTCAGGGGAGAAGTCGGAGACTGCTGCACCGGCGGGAACCGTGAGGGATACTTCAATGATGCCGCCGCCGCCGCCTCCCGCCAAACGCGTGGTGAAGAAGAAGAAGGATTACTCTGCGGCGCTTGGCATCAAAAAGAAGCCTTCGCTGGTCTGAGAGTTGTGTGCCATATGGGAATACAAGCCAGGGCGTGGCTGCAGCAATTTTTGTTTTCGTTTCTCCCCCCTGACTCTTTGTCGCTGCCCACCTGCATCACCGCGCAGGGGAAATGGAGAGCAGCTGCACGTCATTTTGCTCTTTCATATCATGAATAGGGCTGTTATTGTACTTGGTGGTAAACTTTAATTTTTGGGCATGGCGTTTCGGAAAACGGAGATTTACCGCACAGACTCTTTTCCGCAGGGTACATAATCAAGGCATTGGGTGGACAGACGGTTGATGGCGTAAGGGTACACGTACAAGGACAATGTACGGAGTAGGTACTAGACGAATATTGAGCGATCAAAGGCAACACCGACAGAAGGGGTCGAAGCCCACCCCCATTCCACGCCTCTCGTTCTATCTCCCTTTGACTTTTCATTCTTCGGACGATGAATACCTAGCGAAATGATTAAACTCTAGCCATCCAGCATTGTTGAGACGTCACTTTCGACCGTTCCCCCTCCTCCTCTCGCTTTGTACGTCGCACTATTTTGTCCTTTGCTGTGTTCTAGATGTTCCTGGGTTGTCTGTGCTTTTTTTTCTTTTGCGCAAGCTTCACTGTCGATCGTTCACCTTGACAGGTCCAGCGCTGCGAAAGCTGATGCGTATGTGTGGGTGCGCGCGCATGTTCGCGTTTGTGTGTTGAGCTTGTGAATAGACTCCAAGGTTCGGTAATGCAACCGACCTCTTGGCTCTCTCTCTCTCTTTGCTTCTTTAATTGCGCGATCCAGAGTTTGGGTGTCTGGACCGCGTCGATCGTAGCAGGGTTGGTGGCACTAAGTAGAGATGGAAAGGATGGCCGCCCTTTTAGGGAGCGTTTGCTGGCAGTGGTCGCAAGTCCTAGATTGTGGAGGGATGGTGGAGGAGTATCATCATCGGAAGCGAGGGATCCTTGAGAAGTAATCGTAGTATGTGGTTTTGCAGTGCTCCGACTAATTGGTTATGAATATACAATGGTGTGAAGATAGGTATTGATCGTATGCTAACTGGACAATGTGACATGTGCATCAGAAGAGTTGTGAGCGATTTCGGGTCGGATCAGTCATGTGGTATATAGATATTGAGACGTCACAAGTGGTCGGGGTCGTAAGTAATTGTGTAGCGATTATAATGATTTATTCGTTCTTATCATAATCATGGATGATCACCCTCGATATCTCGGGGTGAAGCTGCCCGATAACCATCAAACCACCAACGCCTGAGGATTTCCCCTTGTAAACAATACCCGCCATCTTAAAACAAACTCTCTCGCGCCAAATGCTAATATTGCCAGAAGTCTGGTTCCATCGCGCTAATATCGTGCTAGACCGAGTTGATCCTGTTGTCTGCTATTCGCAGTCGCTGAAAAGAGGCCCTCAAGCCGGATGTGAAGACCGGTGTGATAAGCCGAAGACCCGGTGAAAAGTGTCAATGAGTGGAGTAGCCATTATGATGTATCAAAAAATGATTTAATACGATGAGTCGTGGCTGGATGAGGAGTGATGAGAGTTGTGAGGATAACTTGTGCGGCCGCCAGATCTTCTGGTAGAGGAGCGGTTGGCAGCCTCCATCTGGCGCTTGGTGTGCTGGTGCATCGAGCGCATATAGGTGGAGAGATCTGATGGAGGAGGAGGAGAGACAGGGATGGAGACGGAGTAGGCGTCCTGGCGAGCGGGCATGGTGGAAGGGCTCATGGAGGCGATTTAGATACAATATGTGGTGTTGTTGGATAGTAAGCCGCTGATGAGAGGCTTAAGGCGTGTGAGGAGTAGTCGTTGGTTGGTAGATTGCTTCCGGTTGTTGGATGTGATGGAAGCGTTAGGTAGATATAGAAATTTGTAGATGTATTTAAGAACGGTGTGAAGTTGTTGTTATTGAAGCTGGGTGCTGATGAAACGGGATTCAAAATACGGTGGATGGCAGGAAAGGTCCTGGGTTTATAAAAGAAAATAAGAGGGGCGAAAAGGCTCGCTGCAAGGCTTGTCGTGGAGAAGAGGTGAACACAGACGTAGGGAAAGTTGGGCAGGACGGGGTCGTGTGTGTGGTGGTGGTGAGCAGCACGTCGCCCATCAGGCAAAACACAGGGTCCTCCGTCACTAGCGGATGTTGCAAGCTATGGGACCTACGCTAAGGCACACCCCCCCCTCCCTTTTTCTCAAGGGTCGAGGGGGAGGGGGTCTGAGTGTGGGAAGAGACGAGATTGAGCAGCGCAGAGTAGAGCAACTTGCCCACACACAGAGAGTGAGAGAGAAAAGCAGGCACCGTTCCTTCCTCTTCACCCCCTCATCCCTCCCACTCAGCAAAGAGGAGCTGCTGCATATCCCGCCTACACTCAATTCGCTAGGGATCGGCAGTGATTGACGGCGTCTTAGCGTTCTGCTGTACCCCCGGGTGAGGCCTGCACGATATGGCGTAACTGGGCCGGGGGTCGAGGCGCAAGGGGCCAATCAAGCAGACCTCGCCCACTGCTGGGTTTATTGCCACGGACAGGGCTGATGATGCAGTAAGCGGTACGGTGATACACTGCAGGGCACAAGAGAGGTGGTTTGCGGGTGCGGGAGGTGGCCGAGAACGGAAAGACCCTGTTGATCAGTTGTCCACACCGAAAGTCACCGGGCATGTCTACCGGTACCTACTGGCCACACTTTCTCACGCGTACCTACGGAGCACAGCTTGTTCCTCTCTGCCTTTCGCGCTTCTTTGGAGTAGCTGTCGACATGTCAAAATACCTCCCCCCCGAATCTCGGACAAAGACAGCGACGATCAGTCCCCTCTCCATTTCGCTTTCCTACCCTTGGAGGTTCTGGACCGGCGGACGGGGCGTGGAGCTGGACGGGAGACCCTGAGAAAAAGAGGCTTGAGGGGTTTCTGATCCATGTCCCATCAATACGTCGAGATAGACATGGCCAGACTGCAAGCGAATAGGATTGTCTCGAACATCGTGCCCATCCCGACGCCAAAGGCTCAAAGGTGTGTTGGACCCTTGATTTTTTGGCCACCCCATGACCTTACAGGAGGACGGCATTATCGAAAGCTTGAAACCTCCCCCAACTCTGATGGAGGGTCGGCATGTTCGTTGTACGATTGTGCTGCCACAGCTGCACGATACGTCTATCCCATCCAGGTCCAGGGGAAGCAAGCAAGCTTACGGTTAGGTCGCCATCCACAAGCAAACAGCTTGCGCGAACGAACGACGATGAGGGTTCAGGCCGGGGGGTCACAAGCCAGCCAAAAAGAAGCGTGTTCACATTAAAGACAGGCGCTACTGGCACTTGACCAAAGCTTCCCTAGTCAATAGGTCAATGACGGGCAAGAGATGGGTGGTAGTAAGTCTTGTCTTGTTTAGAGTAGCAGGAATGTGGTGTAAGGGAAGTGGAAGGTTGGCAACGGCGCGGCCAAGCAGTAGCCAAGCAAGACTTGTCGTCAAAGATCGGCGGGTGGAGCAGACGTCATTGGCCGAAGCGTCTGCGTCGGCCGGACCCCGGGTGTGGACATTGCTGCTAGTGGGTCCGTCCAGTGTCCCACCTTCCTTCTTTTTTGCCCTGGTCGTCCGCCGTCGCCCTCAACCTTTCGGGCAGTGGAGACTTCACCTTTCACCACTATTATGTGCAACTTGGCGTTCCTGGTCTGTGCCGGGGCGCGGACACCATGCCGTCAAGGCAGAAGCCACGGATCCCAAACAAGAGTGTGGAAGGCTAGCCGCCAAATCTGAAGCCATTCAGCAACTTTTTGGAACTGCTACCTCCCAGGTCCCTTCGTCTTTGAGGGCCATCATTGGTTTGATCCTCATATTAGTGGGAATACTGTCCAAATCGTGACCATGCTTGCCCAAGGGCCAGGGACATACCTGTAGGAAATTCCCATGATGCCCCCATGCCCACCATCCTCCGTCGGCATGGGAATTTGAGAAATTTGCCATGGCGGCGAGACTGACTTCGGCACTCTTGGGCCTCAATTTCCCATTCCCCCCTCCCCTAAGAAATGATGAGGATGGGAATTGCCCCCTTCTCCCCCCTTCGGTGGCAACCCTACTCAGCAGAGGCCTCTGCGCTGATTCCCATGATTCCCGTGTCAGGGACATCTTGACGTGCGGCTTGCCCCATCACGCCCTCCCACACTTGACCAGGTCCCACCGGATCTAGCCCATGCCGAAGCTATTCAGAGTTGAACACTGAGCCAGCAAGATGCCAAGCCCAGCAACAAGGAAGCTTTGAACAAATTTCGGCCCTCGACATCACGGAGCCGGGTCACGGAGGAGCAGACAAGGTTCATTGTACCGTAGGCCGCATTCGGTCTTGATCTGACCCTCACCGAGAAATTGGAGACGTTTCTCTTCGGGTGAGAGATTTACCAGGACGTCAGGGGTCTGCGAACTAAAGCTCCGATATACGCTGGGTTTGAAAGGCCGGTGAGATCTGACAAGAAAGAAAACACACTTTGTCGCTAAAGGAAAGCAACCGAAACGGCGGGTTTGCGCGTTTGGAAGCTATGTAATGGTCCAGAACCTCATTGGAGCATAATTGGCCTCTCTCGACCGTGGCGAGACAGTTGTGACGGAAGGTACGCGATACGCAGTGAACCGTAACGTAAGATAGACGGCCGGGGGGATCGCGAGAAGGGATGGATGCTCTCAGGGGGGGATGGAGGATGGGCCATGGATGGATGCATGTGGCCAGGACGTATCCGTTGCGACGGATAGACCTCGAACCGGCCGTAGCTTGTACGAATAGTGGGAGCGCATCCGTAGGCAGACTACAGAAATTCAGACTTTGGGGCTGGCTGGATGGGACACACAGACGTCAAGGCTGACGGAAGGCAGCTCGTCCTTCCTCTCAGTTTGTTCGGCCTTGCCTCAGTTTACGTCGTTGGAGCTGTTTGGAGGTTGGTGTGTCGTCAGGTCTTGCCAATCAAGTCTCGTGTGAAGTCACGCTGCGCCACTAACCCGGCGCCCTATGATGTCACTCGCTGCTCTTTTTCTCACCCTGGTCCGACGGTCGGATTCCCCCCTGCTTTTCGCTTTAGTTAACCAATCAAAACGTTGGAGCGAGCGTTTTCTTCCATTTTCTCCCCTTCCTCCCTGGTAACGTTTTGACAAGCTGCTCCGTCACACACACCACAAACACACCCCCCTTTCCCCCAAAAGGCTCAAACGCTGGTCCATTCCGTCACAGGAAGGAATGATACGCGCGACGACCTCATAGCACCACAGACAGCACCACAACTTACGTCTTTCTACGTCTCCTTACGTCGACAGCCCGCTTAGACCGAGTTCCACGAGGCGGAGAGAAACCCTCTTCTCTCTCAGATCTTCAAAGATTTGCACGTTTTTTAGCTAGAATGCGGCTCCCGTCTCGCTTCGCTCGAGCATTGCTGCATTGTCTGTCATGCACACCTAGCTGCTATTAGAGCTAGATTCTTTTTTTTTTTCCCTCTCTTTGCATCACCCCTTGCCACAGCTTCTCTCATCATCGTGCGACCCTTACGACGGCTGACAATGAAGAAAAAAAAGCCTCCCGTCTATACTATGGGGGCACCCATGAAGCAGTTCCCGCCACCTGCATCATACCATGACTACCCACACTCTCTATGAGCTCCCCTCAGCCTCGAATGGAGACACAGGCCCGCGCCAAGGTTCCAGACCCTGACTCTTGTCTGACCCGGACCACAAGAAAGAAGGAGAGCTCACATACCTCAAAGTGATATGAACGAAACTGTTTCTTTGCGCGTCCGCCAAAGGTATGCCATCACACGTGATGACGCCATGCCTCTCACCTCACCTCATCTCTACCGGCCGCTATGCCCGAAGAGCTGGCACACACAATCAGATCTCAATCCTCCTACTTTGGGCGGATGGTCGTCTGTGACAGCATACCGGTACTCAACGACGACCCCTGAATTACAGCTGGCAAGTATGTACTAGCTAGGAGGGTTGCTTTCGCCCCTGCGTCCTCAACTCTCGGTCACGGTAGGAGCCGTCCCAACGGCTGGACCACGCAGTATGATCAAATGGCCCGCATAATGACATCGATCTCGCCTGCGATGGGCCCTTGATGGGGGCCGAGGGGTCGTGGAGGTCTGGGGAAACATCCTCTGAAACGTCATGAATGATGTTATACTACCTCTAGAGAATGGTTCCCAACCGGACATCTATGGCTTCCTCTACGCCTGAGAGAGTTGTCGGCCGACGCCTCGTCCACAATGATGAGCCCCGACCTCGAGTCCCCGATCCACCGTGAGAGTATCAAGGTCCACGTACCCTCAAACTTAGCGATGATAGTCCTAGGCTCGAGCATCACTGAACCGCCTGATTGGGGCCAGAGAAGATAGCAGCACGCCGAGTCCTCTTCTTCTACTGCTCCCTTTGATCCCCAAAACCTCTCTGACCGTCCCGGTGCCTTCCCCCGCCACTCTACGGCACCTCTGCGTCCGAATTTACTGGGGCCCAAGGGGTTTGAACTTGTCGCCCAACGAGATCCTCGCCGCTAACCGTCCCAGTAATGATTGGCTGTCGCTGAGCTCTTCGGCGATCCTCCGTCATCCTGACGGCCTTTCCGACTCCTCAGGCGCGACCCTCTCTGCGATATCGAAGCTTGCTCGTTAACTACGGGACTCGGGTAATATTTGGGCAGGCATCGAGCACCGAGCGTCTTTTACATCTCAATACTGAACATCGAGATCGAGATACGGCCGCGGTCCAAGTAGGGTTGTATGGTCGATGTGCTTGTTTCGCAGCAAAAGGGGTCTGTGGCGGTTGACCCGTCTGTTTACTATATCATATCAGCGTTGGGGCCTTGTTGGTTTTCAGTCTCTCTCCTTGTTATGATCCATAGTACGTCACTATCACGCCGATTCGGGCCACAACGTAGGCGGATTTCAGCGTGGAAGAAAAGGTTGCGATGGAGGAGTGCTCCATATTCACTGCCCAAGACTTTTAGAATCCTATCGGAGGTGTACCACGCCGTACCGGTCAGTGAATCAGGCGTTGTTGTAAGTGTAACCTAGAGGACCTCATGGTTCTACTAAACAACGCCTGTGCCGTCATTCTGGCCCCCAGATCCAATTATAGTTGATCATGAAAGTGGGTGTCGCCCAGCGCGGGAGTGCGTGGTGACTGGCGATTCTTCGTCATGGATTAACTCTCGTAATCTTACCTTAAGACTTCTTGGAGCAGTCTCTTGAGCCATCTAGAGTGTAATCCTTTGTGAGAGGAGACCTATGGCGCTCTTACCAGTGGATTTCGACTCACATCAGATTGTCAACCTTGACGGCATTTCGACAAAGCAATTGTGGTGTGTTTGCCTATCCGTTCTTTAAAAAGCACGCGAGCGTGGCGGGAAAGCTAGCTGATCGTCCTATTTAACTCGCCACTATCATCATACCCTGACGGTCGTATCCTTGTTGAGAGGGATTTTACTCAAGGTCTGGGACAAGTGAGCACATCACGAGGGTGATTTTGCTCAGTTGTATGGTTTATTTGGTGGTGGTTGCCCCCGGAGCTGATAAAAAGTCTTCATTTTATCATAGCCTGCCATCGCGTAGCACATCTCTTCAATATGAGGAACAAGTCACAAGGAGGGTTGTCTTTGTATCTCAAGTAAGTAGACGTACAACTCTAGCGTGGCCGAGTTTATGATTACCGAAACACAAGTCTAAAAAGGGAAGGCAATTTTTGGAGCATTCGAGTATGCAATTCTTACTCTGACCTCGGAAATCGGCACTACCTCTATGAAGACCGGTCGATACTCGGATCAGTGAGGGACCATTCGACCGTGGACCAATAAAAGGCTCTAGAAGTCATTTTTGAGAGATAACCAGAACTACTTGCTCCTTCCTTGAGGCATACCAACGCAAGCCACCCAAATGGTAGAGTACTAGATATATCCCTGAACCTTCTCGATTTCGAAAAGCCCAGCAGGTGGTATAAGCCTTCGGCAGCAAACGGGATAACTATTAGCTTATTTTACGTGATACCATCATTCTCAACCCACAGTGTGTCATCAACCCACTACAAAATAGCCCCTGCCCAGGTGCATCATATTGAACTTTCCTTTGATGGTATGATGATTTGCCGAATAACTTTTTCACATCCTGGTGTTAGTCTCTAATTCAATGCACATTGCAGTGTTCGAAGTGACGTTAAGGACCAAAACCACCTATGTAGGGTAATCTATCTTGCACGTGTCGGTCAAGAGGACACGCGGGCAATCGTCCTTGCCGTAACCAGGATAGAAAAATGAGAGAGGCACCAGACTACACCTACCAGATGAGAATGCCCATGGCTCATACAAACGGCGCGTCCTTCTCTCCCAACTCGTCATGGTGGCATATCGTCAGAAAAGCGCAACGTGGAAGGTTGTACAAGCCATTAAAATGGCCCTTCCACCCACCTACTTCCACTTCAGGTGAATCAGCGGGCTTGGCAAACTTCTCCCTCCTGTCACATCCTGATGATGCAGTGCAGCATACGATATCACCCACTTCGTTCCGGCCGAAAGGCTGCCCTTCTAATGTATGTACCAACATGCCCACTGCCTACTTACAGCAAGGTTCCTAAGCTCCTCACTCAATTCCAACCGCGAAAGCGAAGCAGGTATGCCTTTGTTGCTGTGCTCACATCAACCCCTCCGAGTGACACACGGTTGATTTCCTCCTCTCTCGTACAACAACGGTGGGCACATGATTCAGATGAAACCACCACACATCAGATCTGACACGGTATTTGAGAAATCTGTCTACATGAGATTGTGATCTTGGGATGCTAACTGGACTTCCAAGGGAGTAGGCACGGCATCGACCGCCCGAGAAATATTGTTCAGAC